CCAAAGCCTAAAACTGCTGTTTAAATGCAATTTAAACTCCACCTGCTGGCTGAGCTCCTTAATGGCATCATGTCTGCACATGCAGATGGTAAAGGGGCTTAAGGATGCTCCCCTTCCAGTGGTAAGGGGCTTAAGAAAGATCTATGATTCATCCCATTAAGAAAAATACCAGACAAGAGTTTCTAAAGTGATTAATGATCTCTGTAGCTCTGTTTAATTGAAACATGTCTAAGAGATCTGATTTGCAAAATCACTAATCACGTTTGAGCGCTGGCCACAACAGCCCAGAAATATTCTGAAAAGCAAATGGGTCTAAGGAGAAGCAAAAAAAACGTTAAAAAAGTTTAAAGAAAGGGAATATATTTCATGAAGAAGGCTTGAAATAGGGGTTTGAGCGACCAGATGTTGTATTTTGTTTCCCAAATTCAGTTTCCAGAGATATATTTCAAGTAATTGCAGAGGAGTGGACTTTAATAACTGTACATACACACACAGAACACGATGCACACGTGTGACAATGAGGGTGATGGGATTGGGGCAGAGCTGACATTTACTTCTCTTGAGATTCCTTTTCACAAAACCATACATTGAAAGAAAACTAGGATTTTGTGGGGGTTTTTTGTTTTGTTTTTTTTTTTAATTTTAGTACCTGAAAAGCAACTTCAGTGGAAAAACAATCTATAGAGCAGTTTAAGAATATGAGGTGCATTCAGGAGAAATCTTGGGCTATAGTAAATGCTTCCATGTGTGATAAGGGTAAGTTAGCATAAAGCTACACATCTTTTATTTCCTCAAAACTGGCCAGACTTTAGAAAAACGTTATGATATTAATGAGACAGAAACCTCTGAGAATTCAGTGCATGGCATACAGGGAAATCAAAAATTAATTTAAGAGGGCATATTCCCAAGCTATGAGGGTTATTGACAACAATCAGTACATTCAGGAAGTCATCAAACACTATTTTATTTCCAAAAGAGTACATAGAAAGACATAGGTTTTCATTTTGCTTCATATTCATATTTCATATTCATTTATTACCCAATATACAGTTATTGTGACCATATTTCTATTACATGAAGTCTTTGGAAAGTATTCACCACAACTGATACCCAGAGAATGCTTTACTTTCCGTGGCTCAATTTGTGGGGCAGGTCAACTGACACTTGAGACTAATTCTGCTTGCCTGGTTAATCCACAAGCTTCAGAATAACCCTCTAAGCACTTCCAAACAAATATCCTGGCCCATTTCTCACTGATATTCACCCCAGTGCTTTCAATAAGCCTTTTTTTTATGGACAAAAATGTCATCAGAGGAATTAATAAGAGCAGTGCAGTCCAGGTGATTCCCATAGAGGGAGATGTTGCTTTGTTTTTTCCTTATTTTAAAGTTTTCCTGCCCATGTCATGGGAAAAACTTCACATGCTCTGGTCACCGCACAGGCACTTCCTGACATGTAGTTTTTTAAGATAAGCAAATCATGCACCAGAACTGTCTATTACCGAATTCAGTGTTTCCATTGAATTCCAGAGCACCAGCAGTGACATGGCAGTTGTTGAGCCAGCATTACTGAATTTACAATTTATCACTCTTTTCTTAACCTTTCCAGAAGAGACCATGAGGATGCTCAAGGGGCTGGAGCACCTCTGCTATGGAGACAGGCTGAGAGAGCTGGGGGTGTTCAACCTGGAGAAGAGAAGGCTCCAGGGAGACCTTATTGTGGACTCTCAGTACTTAAAGGGAGCTTATAAAAAGATGGAGAGAAACTTGTTACATGGGTAGATAGTGGTAGGACAAGGGAGAATGGTTTTAAACTGAAAGAGGGGACATTTAGAGTGGATGTTAGGAGGAAATTCTTCCCTATGAGGGTGGGGAGGCTTTGGCACAGGTTGCTTGGAGAAGCTGTGGATGCCCCGTCCCTGGAAGTGTTCATCTAGCCTGGATGAGACCTGGGCTAGTGGAAGGTGTTGGAGCAAGATGAGCTTTAAGGTCGCTTCCAACCCAAACTATCCCATGATTCCACAGTTCCCAAAGAGGGATGGAGATGGAAACTGTTCTTACAAAGCAATTGGGCAGCTACTGCTTTTCCAGAAACACTTGGATCCTTCAGCACACCCCAGGCTGACCACGTCAGCTGGCACCACTTGCGACATGAACACACTTCTGTGTCCATCACAAACATGCAGCACCATCACTTCCTCATTCTATCCTCTCTCCACACACCTCCAAACGAACAGAAGGAATGCTGGGCTGTCTCTGATAGGAACGAATTTATGAAGCTCAGGTTACACTGAGGACACGACCCTCCAGGAAGCTTTTATTTGCTATGACAGCCCATGATCTTCATATCTGCAAGAGAAGTTTTGTTTAATTTGAAGAGAAGGGTTTGTCTCCTGAGATGGATGTGAAGGCCTCGGATTTCATTGCTGCCTGGTATTGTGGTGGACTCTGATTCTCTTGACTCCTTCATGAACCATAATCTATATAATGTCTGCTGTCCAGTACAGAAGCTTTTTTAATTAATATTCCCCATAGAGGTGATCTGATTTTGCTTTTGCAGGCAAAGAAATGGGTCTGCTTTAAAAATAACCTCTTATATGAAATGATGCATCATAGCACTCCCATGCAGAACAGCAGTTAGGAAAGTATTCCATAGCAACGGCCACATCTTAATAGAAGATCATCTCCTGGACATCTCCCTCTGCATTTCTGCAATTACCAACTATGTCTCCTACCATCTGCAATTACATAAAATCCCTCTGGCAACTACAGCTATTGCTTACATGGAAAATTAATGTTGGGGAGCAACGGGATTTAATAACTAAATATAAGAAATGTAAGTTATTACTACATGACTATCTGTCAAGCTTTACCCCAGCTACCAGGAGCCATTGAACTGATCAGCACGGGATGTAATTTTGAATTCCTGGACTTAATAATATAAATCATTAGCCCTTGGATTTAATATTTTCTTTGCACTGTAACGCAGAACTTTCCCCAGCCACTTTGACATTAAAAATGCAGCATTTGGAATATGCAAAAGGAATGGCCTGATTTGCTTAATGGACAACCTGGAAGCAGGTTGTGCTGGGAGCAGCTGTGGCCACACAGGTCTGCCTGTTCCCTGGTGCTCCAGGGTTTGTCCAGGCCTATTTTATATCATGTTTCTTCCATATTGCTGGGAAACAAGCAATTATGTTTCCTGATGTCACTGTGTCATACTGCTGTTGGGCTACTGGTTTCATAAATCAAAACAGCACTTAGATTTTATTTAGAAGAAGCAAGTTTTGAAATGCATTGTATTGGAGGTTAATATTATCCCTTATCTACAGATTAATAATGATTTTGCACACTTTGGCTTTTTTTTTGTCACAGCATTCATTATGAATGTATAAATGATGTCACAACTTGGTTAAAAAGGTGCAGTTATCATAGTGGCTCTCGTTTTCCAGTTTTAAAATAAAAAGGTTGCCTTTTTTTAAAAAAAAAAGTGACACTTTATCTAAAATATTTTCAAAGCAATTGAACATTTTCTGATGGGGGTATAAGTACTGATAAAAATTTCCATAGTTGTCATTTCTCTAGAAGAAAGCAGTGACTAAAATGGCACACATATTTGAAAAAGTTGGTTGGCACAAATATAATTTTGGGGAAGAAAATAAGAGGTCGCCTGACTAGAAAGATTTAGAACAAAGTAAATTCTTGGTACTAAATTATCTCTGTCTACCAGCCTAGGAACTGAATCCCAGACATCCACTTCTTGTGCCCTGGAAGAATTAATCTCACCATACTATATGAGCACCACTTGGCACCTCTGCTACAGAACAACACGCCTGGCAATGAATATGGAGTCACCAGTGCCTTGGGAATGTCAAGGCAGGAAGAAATGTTCAAAAGAGGGGGAATATCCCAGTTGTCATGACTTGGATGTCAAAGTAAAGAGTGACTGAACATGGAATGAATCCTGTTCACCTGTGGGAGATAAAGGCTGAGTGTAAAACAGCAGCTCGGTTCAACCAAGGCAGGTTTTGAACTGTGCTGAAACCAAACTGCAGGTCTCTGGTGGTTAAGGAGATAAAGGGGGATCAGTAAGATCAATGCACGAAACAGGTATCAAACACACCATGGTTCCAGGTTCCAGCAGCAGTTTGTGGTCAATCTCAGAAGTTTCTGATCTTGATGGGCTAATTTTGAATTACAGGGAAGCTCAGTATCCTTCTAGTGGCTGGAAACCAGAGCAAGTGAAAGCACAGACCTGGCCCAAACCCCCCTCAGTGCTGCAGTGAGTCATCTCTCACATGGGAACGGTGACAGTGGATTACAGCAATCCCTGAGGGCCAGGTCAGCCCTCTGGAATCACAGCTAATACTCTGCTGGGACTACTCAGCTAATACTCTACCAGGGCTGTGGGTTGCATTAAAAGTGAGATGAGCTCTGAGTGCATTTGGTGGGAGGTCACTGCCCATCTGAGGGGGAAGGCAAGAATGCCAACAGCATGACCCACAGCACAGGTATGTGTGTGTGACTGTACCCTGAGGGCAGGGAGTTCAGAAGCATGGATTGGTCATATAGTCTGCAAAGAGAGAGGAGGCCGAGCAGCTGAAGGAGGCTCAGATAGACCCTTCAGAGAAATAACTCCGTGTCTGAGGAATCTGTGCTTTCTTTTGACCAGGTGAAGGTGGAAGGAAAAGAGCAGGGATCTGCTGGCAGGGCACAAGACGTCCTACGGGGATATTTCAGAAGGCTGCAGTAACCAAGGACATGCATTCTCAGTATCCAATAAACACACAACAACAAATAAACACCAGTGACAAATGGGGTGACGCATTCAGAATTAAGATAGCTGTCCCAAAGTGAAAACACTTATCAAAGTTTAAGAGGATTATCACCAGCCACAACCCTTCCCACACAGCTCTGCCCCCTCCCAGGCAATATTTCCTTCTCCATCATCTCTGCTGCATAAACAAGTTAAGTGTTTATATTCTCAATCACTCAGAAATATCTTCTGCAAATAGTCTCTTGAGGTTGCTAAAATTGATTACAGAGTCAGAGTGTCAAACTGAAGTAAGAGTACAAAAATGTAAGAATATGAACTGTTTACATTAATCACAAAGACAGAGGAGCTCTGAAAAGGTGCTTTTTATCATACTACATATAAATAAATAAATCACAAAGCAGGCAAAGGGAATAAAATCTAAGCCAAGGCTTGTTTCAGTGAGGTAGTTCATGTAGTGCAGTTTCTCAGGCTTTTGTAGCAACTTCTAGACAGTCGTGACACACTGTGTGCTTTAAAAATGGGTGTTCTTTGTAGACCCAGCAGATGTGCAATATGATAAATCTGTGTTTTGGTGGGAGGTGAGCCAGTCAATGTCAACAATAAAAATGATCAACAGCAGTCTCCTGTTCCATGAACAAATTGTTCAGGCCCTTTGCAAATTCAGGCAGCTCCCACTCCAGAAATTCTCACCACTGGTGTTTCGAAGGCTTTCTTCAAAAGCGCAAAATATGGAGATTCCCTTCAAACCAGACAAAGTGAGCAATGATAGAAGAGCATAGAAAGTTACCTACACTGCTCTCCCAGATGGCTCCTTCTATCTGCCCTTGGAGAATCATAGAATCACAGAATGGTTTGAGTTGGAAGCGACCTTAAAGATCATCTTGTTCCAACCCCCAGCTCCCTACACCTTGTAACCTTCCATCAGCCCCAGGAGACAATGTTGTGGGTTCTTTAAATTTCACAGGGGCCTTTGTTGCTCATATCAACAGAGATATTGGGGGGGTATTTATATAAAACTTGTGTGTGTGACAGTAAAAGAGAGTGGGAAGAGTCAAGGACTGGAGGACCAGTTCTGTTGAGTGCTCTGCAGAGCACATGGGAAGGGTTTTGTGTGGGTAGCACCACCAGCAAGGCAAAAGGGAGCAGAGCTCCACTGTGATGTGAACGCAGAGGAGGAGGTGGGAGGGAGATGATGTGTGTGGGTGAGAACACAAGGAAAGCAGAGCGTGTCAGCTGTGAAAGAGGAACCACGGCAGATGGCCTAGTAAGGACTGTATCCATATCCTTGGGTTAAGGGCAATCAGGGACTATAGGGTACTTACCCAGCAGGGAGTCTTTGTTAAGCAAAACTGCCCCACTGAACGGCATTCAGGGTGTAATTAGCACTCAGGGAGCACAGTCAGGACAAGGCTGCATTTGACCGTGTGCTGCACTGACAGGTAATGAGAGATGTCTTGGGAGACACCGAGTTTGGCTGCGTTAAAACACAGACCAAGTCTGGCCGTTTAGAGAGATGAGAGCACAGTTATAATGCCTGAAACACTTTTCGAAGGGATGCTTCTCAGACCAGCCACACATCTTTTACATAGGCTGTCCCCCCACCCCTGTTTTTCATTCTTCCTTTAAACCATCTTCTTCCTGCTATTTTGTATGACAAAGGCATTGTGATGATGTGCTGATACCGAGCAAAATAAGGAGAGCTGGAGGGCAGGGTGGTTGATGAGAAGAGCAGGAGAGAAGCTCCTTGACCTCCAGTAGCTGTTTGTAGCTGCAATGATATTCTGTCACTGTCAGCTGTTACAGCTCTACCCTTAAAAAAAAGCAAGGGACACTGGGGAGGAGGTTATGGTTGGCATCCGCTTTGGGCACTGAAGAAAGAGGATGCTCCATTCGGGTGGGAGCAGTGGAAGACTCTGGGAACATTGGCAAGCCAGGAATCTTTCAGGACATTCAAAACTCCAGCTGCCCCTAGTCCCACCATTGTACAGGCAGTGGCAGTTTGTTGTGAACTGTCTGTCCTGCAGCCAAGATCCGCTGTGGCAGCTCCTCTTTCCCACTGGCAGCCGGCGGGCGAGGCACCTGGAGAAGGCAGAGGGGAGGGTGGTGAGGGACCGAACCCTGGCCGGGGCAGCAGCAACGCGGGGCTCCCACCCCCGCAAGGTGAACTCAAGGGCATCCCACGGACAGACCCCTCCAAAGGCTCCATCTGGGGCCTCCGGAAAATGGCACCGAGCCATTTTTGTACAGCACGATGCACAAAGTGCCTGCGCCTCGCGTGACGACCCGGCCGCCTGTTCTCTCCCCTCCACGAACCACACACTTCACGCCGAGAGGAACGCGGCTCGCACCCCTCGCTCTGTCCTCCCGGGCCCTGAAGGTTGAGGGGCGAACGCCTTTGTACACAATGGCCCGGGCGGGAGCAGCTGCGGAGGCCGCGGGGCCGAGGGCTCAGCCCCGCGCAGGCACCGGGGCCGAGGCAGCTGCCGCCGGCGGCCGCCGAGAGGCGGGGGAGCCCCCGGGACCCCCGGGGAGATGGCCGCGAGGGGATCACGAGAGACCGTCAGGAGACCGTGAGGGACCGTCAGGGGACGGACCGTGAGGGAGCGCGAGGCGTCCCCGCCGCGAGGGGCGGGCGGTGGATGTGACGCGCGGGCGCGCGCGGCATTGTGGGAGCTCCGCCAGCCCGTCCAGCCGATCCCGGTGGCCCCGCGGGCGGAGCGGAGCGGCGGGAGCGGCAGCGGGAACGGGAACGGGAGCGGGGCCGCCGCCGGCCGACGGGAGACATCTTGCCCGCGCCGTAAGTGCCCGCCGCGCCCGCCCGCCGAGCGGGGAAGGGAGGGGGGCGCGCCGGGGGCTCTGTCGCGGCGCGGTGACACCGGCGGCGGGGGGGGCGCGGGGGTGGCCGGTCCCCTCCCCTGGGGGAACCCGGGGGTCGGCTCTGCTGCCTCTCGTTGTTGTCTCGGGTGAATCCCGGAGAGCCACCCGCGCCCAGCGAAATGGTGGCAGCGGGGCCGTATTTCCATGGAATCCGCTATGGAATGACGGTGTGGGGCCGGGGGGAGCCCGGCGGGGCTGCGGGACCGCGGTCCGCCCCCGTCCCTGCTGCTCCAGGCACCGGCGGGCTCCTTCCTCGGCGTTCCCGCCGGGCAGCGCGGGGTGATCGAGGGACACTGCGAAAAGCGCAAGGGAAAAGCAGCAGGACGCGTTGTTTTGTTGGTTTGTTTTTTTTTTTTTTTTTTTTTGTCCCCCGTGCGTTTTCCACTCGGGATGGGGAACCCGCGGCGCAAAAGTTACCTGCGGCGTGTGAACGAATTAATGAAAAACAAAAGCCAAAGGGCGCGTCTTAAAACCGCACGCGGAGAGCTGTAAAAAAAAAAAAAAAAAAAAAAAAAAAAAGAAAGAAAAGAAAATAAATAAACGTTCGGCTGGAAGAAGAATAGGGGCTCGCTATTCTTTTGGAAGTGTCACTTGCCGAGGAGCCCGCAATATGTCTGCCTGCAGGCTCGGAGCAGCCCGTGGGGACCGCCCGGGTGTGGGTGTTCCGAGGGGACCGCCAGCACTGCAGGTGGATGCGGGTTCCCGGGGCTCCGCACCGGGCACGGCACAGGAGCGCTGCCATCGGCCCGGGGCTGCGCCCGGGGGGGACAGCGAGGGCGGCAAACTCCTCCTGCAACTTGCACCTTCCCGCAGTCCTTTTGTTTTCCCTGTAATCTTTAAAAGTAAGTTGCGGAAGGCCCGTGAAATCGCGTCTGAAGCCGGCAGTGGGAGCCAGCTCGTGTGCGAGCAGGGTGATGGAAAACTGGGGATGGAAGGAGGCTTGTTGTTGAAATATATTTGGATGAGGCTCGTTATTTGTCTCTTGACCGTACAAATGAACAACCATTTTTTTTCCCCCCCCAGGACCGTGTGTAGCTGTCACTTAGCAACAGGTCTGTAGGGAACTTTGCAGATCCACTGCCTCCCCCATTCTGAAGAGTGGAAGAAATAAATGAGCTAAGGAGCAAGAGTGCAATTAATAAAAACAGTACCTGGGTTCTTGGGTACAGCCCAGAATTGAAATACTTAAGTGGGAACAAGACAATTAGAGTTGCTTTGAAAATTAGATTTTATTGCAGTTGGGTATCAGAGACTTTGTATCAAGTGGTTCCTGGAAAACTACCCAATGTGTTTGGGTTTTGGGGGCTTTTTTTTTTCCCCAAGTGTTATGAAAGGAAGGAATTAGATTGTTGTTTACTCAGTAATGGTTGCAGGTTATTTTGCTGCATTATGATTCATAACCTTTCACACTGAAATCTCCTGGGTCCTTAAAGAGTAACTTTGCTTTGCTGTTTGTACTGCATACCCTTCTGATTGCCAGCAAAGCCTAATGTTGACAGTGTAGATTAAGCCATAACTGATCTGAAAACTAGTAGCAAGACTAGAATTTGCCCTAATGACAGTAGTACAGGAAGAGTACTTAAGCACTGCTTATTTTGTACATCAACATTAGCAAAAAGAGAAGTCCACTACTGCAAGCTTAGACTTAAAAGAAATTGGTGTGTTTAAATTTGTCCTTAGGAGTTGCCTGGTTCTGCCAATGCACAGCAGTGAGCTTTGATACAAGATATTCTCTTGATAGGTAAGGTGATATATAATCACACTCTGGAAGAATCATCATGAACCCGAGCCCTCAAAGAAATTCAGAAGTATTTTTGTACAACTCTGTCAAGTGGGATCAAGGCCTGTTGTCTGTTCCACAGAAAAGGTTATAAAGTAGGGATACAGGAGGAGGAATCTGGAACTGATGCCACAAGAGGAAAAAAGAAAAGAGGCTCCAGATAGATGTTCCACTGGGAGAGGGAATATTGGCCCAGTGGGCAGTGCTGTGAGCATTAGGTTTTGTCCACTCAAGAGGTAAAATTGGAAAAGAATCATGCAGTGCTTGTGGAAAGAATGCGGGGCTGGCTTGCTTGCTTGTTGGGGAAAGATGCTATCAATGCATAGAGAAGCTATAATTCCTTACCCAGACCCATTCTAAAGACAGCATGGGCAGGATTGGTGGTCCTTGCTCCAGGAGTGAGGTGAGAATCACGCCATTCATGACCTCAGTGGGTCGAGTTCTTGCACTCCCTTCCCTCAGCAGTGTAGCATCTATCTTAAATTTCATTCTGCATCCAGATTTTGCCCTGGAAACATCCATGTGAATTGTTTATTATGTTTTTGTTTTCTTCCAAAAATGTCTAGGGGCAAAGGAGTTTTCAAAATGTTCTTTAAAACAGTTTTTCTGACCACTGAGTTCACAAACCATCCAGTGCTTTAAGGCCATGTATCATTTTTTTCTTGCTTCCTGTCAAGTATACAAAAACCTATAATGTACAAATGGGCTTATTTTGGGCCAGTTCTCCCAGCAGTGGTCAGTGAAGACAACTGTATTTACGTTTTCCTGAGTATTGGTGGCAGGATGCCCAGCTGAAACTCTTGTCACGCTCCCAGCCCTGTTCAATGTGGAGGTTTGCACATTAAGGGGTGTTTGTTTTGGTGTTTCAGACCCACTGGGGGAGGGAGGGACTTGTGCCAGTTGAATACAATTGTGCAACAGTGTTTTGTTTAGCACACAGATTTAATGAAAATGTTATTCCTCTTTCTCCCATCCTTTATGTTTTGGGAATTAATAGTCCTCTTAATCTTCAACAGCAAGTGCACCTATTGAGCATTCCTAGATGAGGAGTGTTCTCTCAGCTTGCCAAGTGAAAATAAATGTATGTTTGGTGCTGCCTTTTCAGATGATAAATTAATGTAGTTTTGGAACGGATGTTTCAGTGGTTTCACAACTGGTTTCACTCCTCTGTCCCTTTCAGACCTCAAAGAGTTACTGCTTTGATGAAGATCTTGAGCTGAAGTTTGAAATCACATGAGATCAAATGATAACTGAGTGAGAGCTCTTCTCAGTACTCTCCTACCTAGAACCCACAGTGCCAGGCTGAGCCCCTCTCTGCTAGGCAGGCACTGTTAGAGCCCATTTTATACCCACTCTGGGCAGTGCATTTTATAAATATGCCAGACTAGCTTCTGATTAGCCAAGAACAGAGCAAGTTAGTTGTCAAAGCAAATTCAAATGCACCTTTTCAAAAAGAGTTCAGCGAGCGGCGATTATTGTAGTACATGAAGAGATTTAAGAGAGAATGGCAGCACTTATATTGTTAATCTTTTGAAACAATGGAAAGAAAATAGCGTTGCAGCTAATCTCTTTTGTGATACAAAAATGAACTTCCCAGCGTAGTCTTTGTGCTGAAAGAAGAGAAAAATAATTACTACGTCTTAGTATTTCTCCTATTGTAGTAATGATCTCCTGGATTCCACTACACTTACTGAGATGATGATGTAGATCTAAATTTAATCATCTCTTTGCTGAGTGCAGTTAATACAGCAGTGCAAGCCCACGAGCAGAACAGTCCCTGCCTGACAGCAGCAGCATTCATAGTAATTTGTTTAGTCATTAAGAGCCTGTACCTGAAAACTCTTAATAGCAGGGTGGTTTTATTACTGCTGTTTGATCAAAGTAGCAGATCGACTCAGCTAATAAAGAACTGGTGTTTGGAATTTGGGTACCACTTTGCCAGGATGTGCAGCCTGTACTTGCAGCATTACGTGATGTTAAGCCTTTCAGAAAAACAGATGCCTATGTGCATTTTAGGAAGATGGTATTTAGAAGTGTCGTTTAGCAGAGTATCTTCACGCAGGAAAATATGGCCAACCAGAGTTCCTACAGCCAATTTCAACCAGAAAAATGTTAATTATGGTGATTTCATCACAACACCTTAATGTTTTCTTAGAATATGTATTTCTGGCTTGCAAAGACGTGGCAGCAGAGGAGCCTTGTAACTTGAATCTTGTAACCACCAAATCTCATTTGTGTGCATTTGGACATCTTAGAAAGCAGTGTGAGTCTTGCTACAGTCCTTAAGGGGTTTTCAAAAGGCTGTGGATCAGGTGCTAAAGTCTGCACCAAGGGCAATCTGTGTTCAAGCACAGCAGAGCCACTGAAGAATATAGTGTTAAATTTGATTTGAAGTGAAAGGTGAATGTAGATATTTGACTGCTCAGTGATATCCCCTGATTATCACAGTGATAATTTTGTGAACTGTCACATTGAAACAAAACCATTTTATTGTCAACATCTTCAGAGACTTTGCAACATATTTGGTAAAGTTTCTCAGTAATTCCATTGCAAAGGCAGGAGAGAAGAAAGGAAGGAAAGTACTGGTCCATTGACTGTCACTGGCTGTGATTCATTTAAAAATATATTTACTTATTATGCCACTCAAATCCCGTGTGAACTGTGGCTCATGTGATAAGGTTCCTTTGGTTGCCTCTGATCTGCGGGCTCCCGGTGACTCAGCAAACAGCTCTGGTTCATTAGTGTTGGCAGCAGTCCAGAGTTTCTGGTGTTACAAAGATAAACCATTTCGGAACATGGAAGGCACAGGGCTTTCTTTGGGTTTTGATCTGTTGCCGTGCTCTTTACTTTTCACT